ACGTCCTGGTTGGAGGTGCAAAGTCATTTGGAGGACGCTGCTATTGTTACTGACTTTCATCTACTTTGTGATATCGTTAGTTAATGTTTGATTTTGTGAATGTTAATTAGTTATCCTTTTCGTTTCTGTCATTGTTGTTTTTATTGTTTTCGTTGCTGATTGCCAAAATATCATTGTTCTCATTTTTTAAACACCACCATTTCGTGTTCCTGTCAGAGCGTTCTCGACGTCGGCAAATTGATCACCATTATATCGATCACCATCATATCACCCCGATTAAAATCATTTCAACGGCCATCATCATCTTCACGCAGTACATTCTTCCAGTTCATCTACGTCATGATGAAAGGCGACTTCTACGCCACACCACCCAAGCCACAACAAGCCGCCAAAAAGGCTTACAAAAAAGTGATGGTGGACTCTAAAACACTGTCGGACATGTTGCCACAAGATGACCTGATGCACGCCACTGCCGTTGATGCGTTTGGCTTTGGGATGAGTGTGAAGAGAGATGTAGAGGACGACGACGTGGAGATGCCGCCTGTTGGTACTGCAGCTGCTGTTGACGGCCTTGAAAAGAAAGAAGATAGGTCAGACTTGGTTGGGGTTTTGGCTGGGTTTTTAAGTTTCATTCATGACATGCTGTTGTTTTACTCATTTTGCACTAGTTTATAAAATCTTAATTTTGTTTTTGTCGTGATTAAAACGGGAAAATTGAAATTACACATTATTACAAAGAAATTACTTTTTCTGGAATCATCTACTAATGAAAAACGTAAATTTAATTTACTCTATATGAATTAATTTAGAAAAATCAATTTAATTTTATTTGATTGATTTAATTTAAAAAAAAACATCAGCGGCGTGGCTAACGGTCCGCAATCTCTGAACCAACCTCTATCATTGGATGCTCTGTTGATGAGGTCCAATCAGCAGAAGACCGAGGCAAAAGTGGAAGTGAGTCGGTTGCATTTGTCTTGTTATTTGGTTTAACAATAGTTTAATTATTAATTAATTAATTAAATACTCGATTTTG